CTGTTCCCCGCACCACGTGAACCCGCACTGCCCTCCTGCCCCTGCCTCCATTCATCTCCTCCCACGTGTTGGTCCTGTTGGCAGCACCTCCCCAGAAGGCAGGAGCCACGTGCTTTCCCAAAAAGTAAAGCAAACTGACAAGCCCCAAAGCATTTAGGAACACCGCTGCCCTTCACTCGCCGCCCAGGCTGCCCTCGTTGTCCCAGGAAGGAGCCTGCGGGTGAGGATGCGCAGCTTCCTCTTACCTAAGCCGTGCAGGGCACAGAGCCCAGGCGAGAGGGGAACCTGCCTCCCCCCGAGTCGCCCAGCAGCCCCAGTCCTTCCCCACCAGTTGACCCCAGTGCCTTCCCCCCTTCCCGGCTGCTCCCCTGGAATTACCCGGCACACAGAGCAGCGAAGCCACCGCAGCCCCACGCACCCTGACCCTGTGCTCGACAGCAATGCGCTGAGAGCTGGCACGTCCCAACGCTCCGCACGACAACACAGCTCTCAATGGGGGGCTCCCCTTGACCCCAGCCCCGCACAACCCACCCTCCGCAGCCCTCGCACCCCCCAAACCCCCGCGGAACCCGGCAAGCGGCAGGCTGCACCACAGGACAGTCTCCGCTCTTGGGTCCCACAGAAAGGATGGATCACTGGGGAGTTTGAGGGTTGGCCCATGAAAAGCATCCTCCCTTCCCCGCGCCTGGAAGGTTACAGTCGCACGGACACACCGGTGTATGGCACAATGCTGTTTGGGCTCGGGACTGCGGGGGGCTCAGACAGTGTCTGCGGACAGGGAGGGAACCCACAGGCACTGTCCATCACCACCAGGTCTATGGGCTCTCGTGAACTCAATAACTGCCAGACTTTGCCCCAGTATCTTATTATTGAAAAGCTGTGGCAGTCTTCCTTCAATAAACTGACATTTTAGCACGGGCAGAGTGAAGCCCCAATACTTCTCACTGGTGTGAAGTCAAAGAGAAGGCAGCAATAACAAGAAAGGCCGAATGGCCAAAGTTTTCCTTGGGTCAATCATATTATACTGAAAAGGCAACTGAGCTGAATGCAAGAGAACATGCCAAAAAGTTTGTGTGGGGATTGCCCTGAACAGGACCAACAGTCTCCTCTTACCGCCTGCGTGACACGCACCACCCGTGTCGTGCCCCGAGCACCGCTGCTGTGAGCAGGCAGCACGCAGGACCACCGACAGCCCCCCCCCCGGGGTCTGGCTCACCCCAGCACACCCTCAAACCAGTCACCCCACAGCACCCGCGGGAGCACCAACGCGGGTTAGAAGACGACGTCTCTTTATAAACAGGGGGAGTGGGGGAATCACACTGTACTTGACTAACTCAGCAATTTTAGTTAAGTGAATATTGACACATGGAAGAAAGAGCATTAAAAAAAAGAACCGATATTAGACTTGAAAATAGATAAATAATAATAAACTGGTAAAATAATGTAACATGAACACACTGCTGCTCTTTGCTGGTTAAGAAAGAAGAGCACAGAATATTTTCAGTGTCTGAACTTTTAAACACATCGGGGAAGCAGAAGCTGACACCGATTTCGCAGAGCCGAGCTGGTCACTGCAGGCCTGAATTAAACCCACTGGTGCCGGGGGTCTCCTGTGGCCCGGGGGGCGCAGAGCACGGGGCGCTGTGGCCACGGCGGGGGCACGGGGGTCCCAGGCGCAGCCGCAGCCCTGCGCTGAGGTTGGCTCCTGCCCGTCCCTCGAGACATCACCGGGCAGACATCCACGTGTTATCTGTCGCTGTCAACTTATCAACAGCTATTACTGCTGATCGTTATACCTGTCAGCCTTTAAACAGCATAAGAATATTCACAGAAATAGAAAAATCATGCCAGCTACAGTAACGCAAAGCCTCCTGCTGTTGTCGGCTGCCCAGGGCAGGCCAGTCCCTACAGGGCTGATTTTCACTGGTCTTCTACATCTTCTTTTTCTCAAAACTTCCAAACAGAAACACGCTCCCCTCTCATCTGCCACACTTTTCTAAATTAACTATCTAAAATAACATTAAAACGAAATGTAAAGATACCGTAACTGCTTACAACACGATGTTACATCAAAGGCATTTCTTTTAGTGCTGCTATTTTCATCAAAAGCCTCCACATACCAAGAGAGCACGAGGGAAGCGGAGTGACAACCGGTCAGTCTACCCACTGGATCCACGCAGGTCACAGAGCAGTTTGCCAAGAGAAGAGAATTACTCTCCAGGTACATGGAAATGCCCAAAATACCCTGTCTGAAATGGGACGTGCCAATCTGCGCAGCAGCTCTGATCGGCATTTCGAGGGCAAACACACAGGGTCGGGGGGGGCTGTAAGTAACTGATGGAGCAACTTATAACGTACGATTGTATTATGCTTTAAGTGGGCAGTTGCAGTGATAATTTGTCATTCCCAGGGGCAGCCCCCCGGCGTGGGGTTTCCTCAGCCGCGGTAGGCAGTGGGAGGACGGCACTGCCCTGGCAGGCCGGCCGCATCGGGCACGGCACCCGCGGTCAGGGCTCTGCGGGCAGTGCGGGGACGCGGCACAGAGCGGTTACACAGCGCAAAACGCATCACACACGGGCACTCTCTTGCTGCTGCTTTTCCTGAACTACTTGTGCGGAAAAAAGCACCAGCGCTACGAACAAACCCGCGTACACCGTTCTGCGCCCTGTGCCGGAGCACAGAAGAGCCCGCTGCCCCGTTCCTCACCCGCCGCTGCACCTGAGCACCGGTGACCTGGTTTGCTCCTTGATGGTATGCTGCCTGCTGAAATACATGTTTTTAACACAGTAAATCAACAGCTCGTTCCACAGCCGGTCCCAGAGGTGGCCAAGAGGACACCCACCAGCAGCCTGGGCGACGGATGGAAACCCGCCCAGTTAAATGCTTCGGCATCTCTCTCTCAGGCAAAACCGATCCCTCTCCGGAGTTGCCGCCCGGCTGCGGAAGGAAAGCTGGTGGGGGTGGAGGGTCCCTGCCGCGGTTCCTGAGGGGCTTTGCCGGGCGCCGTCGTTATGGGCACTCCGAGATAACCATCCTTTCAGCGCCGCGTGGTCCCACTCTGGGCCACGGGCTGTTTCTGACAGGGCCGGGCTTGTCAGCCTTCCCCATCGCTTCACCTCATCAATCTGTGAAGTTAAAGCCTATGGTTTATTTATTTCTTTAATTCACTGATAAAGCACATTATCTACAATGATTAATTTTGCATCAAAGAAACAACACTACTACAAATGGTGGTCTAAGGCAACCTATGGGGACTTTCTACAGAGTTCACGTCCTAAATCCATCTCTCTGTGAGCTGTGAAACATCACTCCTCAGTGCGCTTGGCTTCTTCACACAGGTCTTCTACCATCAAGTCCACGGCTCTGTCCCCACGTGGGGAATAAACAGCACTCCCGAGCTAAAGAATAATTAATCTACCAGCTTTGAGTGGGGTTGGTTTAAACCTCAAAAATGAGGATTTGTTATTTCACTTAACTGCAACACAACAGGATTATCTCAGATCGCAAGATATTAATTCTCTCAGAGTAATCGTGATTGATGAGAACACTGAATGGAAGCAGGATAGTATAATTAATGTGGAGCAATACGGGTCTATGGAAAAGAGAACTTGCCCAATTAATGGAATAATGAATTTCAGCTTGGTCAATAAATGTGATCATTTGGATGCAATATTCTTTGTCCTTCATAAACTATTTGACTTCACACTAACATGACATTTTGATTAAGGAAAAAAAAAAATCAGAATGATACCAAGCCAAGCTGTCACACATCAAACAGAGAAAAACCTAGAAACTGATAGGTCCCGCAGCGACTGCAAAGAGGGAAAGATGGAGACGATGCGCTTCCCGTGGCGTTCCACAGGGACCAGTTCTTGGCCTTCTGCAGTCTGGTATTTTGCCGGCAGCCTGAAGAAACTATAAAAATATCCCTGGTAAAGTCAGGGAGCGACACAAGGCGGCGGCGCTGGAGGCGAGCTCTCCCCAGTGGGGAGTCCCCGGCTGCGGGGCTGGCCGGCAAATGGGACGTGTTTCCTGTGGCCAAAACTGAATGCGGTGTCTGGGCAGAAGCAGCACCGCCCCACACACAGGGGAACACCGCCACGGGAGGCAGAGGGTGGGGGATGCTCAGCTGGACGGCACCGCGGCCACACGGGGCCAGAGGCACGGGTGGAGGTGTCCCCACTCTGCCACCGGCCCCGCGGCCACGGTGCGGCTGCCACCCCATCCACCCGAGGCGCGGGGACTGGAAGGCTGGAGGAGGAGCAGCACGGCACCGGGCTGGAGGGCTCGGCCAGCTTGGCTCGCAGTGGCCAGCGCAGGCGTCCCGGTGACACCTTACAGGAGGTGCGGGTAAGGGAGGGCTCCCCGATGCAGCCGATCAAGGTGTCACAAGGACTCCCGGGTTAAGGCTTAAACTAGGCAGGCTTAGACTACAATGGGATTTTTTTACAGTGAGGGCACTTAGCTATTAGGAGGTTTTATCAGAGGATGTAACGGGTTCTCCACTACTTGTTTATTAACTTTTATTGTGAGGATGGGATGTTTTTCTAACTGGCCGGCTCTGGTTCAAACAGGAGTTAGTTTAGGGTGATCCTGCAGCCATGAAGATGGGAGTAACATGGTCACAAGGGTCCTTTCTGCAATCGTGGGATCTCTTGACATAACTTCACACCCCTCCACTTGCCCTCTTTACCTGACAGCTGCTATGTAAATGAATGTACATATCCGAACAGCAACAGGTCTTTGGATATTGCAGACGTAAATCGCGTGTGACCTCAGCGACCGTTTGGTGCACATGCGTCACACTTGCACACTCGGGCGACCAGGAAAATGCCGGCAGCGGGGATGCGGGAGGGCTGGGGTCGGCGAGGGAAGCTCCGAGGAGCACGAGGGAGGCGCAGGGGGGCTCGGCTCCAGCACCCCCGCTGCGAGGAGCGAGGCCGAGCTGCCGTGCCGGGCTGCGCGAGGTCCAGGCGGCGGCTCTCCCGCCGCCCACCACATCACTTAAAGACGGACGGAAATGTCGGGCAGTCGGGAGACTTCATCTTCTTCATGAACTTCTTGAACTCCTTGTTCTTCTTGTCCCACTTGTAGATGGCCGTCAGCAGGTACTGGGTCTTCACCTGGCGGCCCATGATAAGGAAGTAGTGGCCGAGGTTGTCCAGCTGATGGCAGGGGCAGTCGGCCCCGTTCTTTAGGAACAGCACCAGCTTCTTCAGGTTCTTCTTCCGGATGGGCCCCAGCTTCAGTGCCTTCCTCTTCCGTGGGACGATCATCTTGTCCCCGTTCTCCTTCTTCACTTCCTTTATGGTCATCTTAAGAGCTGAAAGACAAGCCAGAGAGAGGGAAAAACAAAACGCCTCCTGAGCAGCCTTCGCTGGCACAAAGCCTTTGCTACGTGAGGCCGGGGGCGAAGGGGCACCGCCACCGCCACCGCCACCCTGGGCCGGCCGCAGCCCCCTGCCCAGCCGCAGACGCCCAGCGACCCGCTCCGCACCGATCCCACCCCCAGCTCCCCTCTCGGCGCCATCGCCCCCACAATGACGTGGCCTGCTCACCGTGACACCAACACCCTTCCGTCTGACGCGGAGCCATCCCTGCGCCCCGGAGAGCATCAAGGTACAACACTGATGTCCCCGTTTCCCTCCCCCCAGCACAGCACACCAGGGGCTTTTTATTTGAGAGGGGGACTTGTTCAGCCTGTGATACGCTCTTTGCCAGCAAAACCTTAGCTGAGCAAACAAGGTGATTTCCCCGTTCTAGACACACGGAGAGACTCTTGAAAGGGCCACCTGAAAGGCCAACTTGGCTCCTCAAGCATTTGTTTGCAGTCACTCCCAGCCCTCGGGTGTCTCTGGAACACGTCTCCAAGCACAGGGTGTTGGAGCAGCGAAGCCCCCGGCAAAGAGCCGCGTCGCTGGGATATGCGCAGGAGGCAGAGCCGGACGGAGCTGCCATGCGCCCGCACATTCCCCAGGAAAAGGGGACTTAATCCCATACCACTTCCATGGAAAATATTTTCCTCTTTGGGTTCAGCATTTTCCCAAGTTAATCGCAACCCGAATAAAAAAGAAAAAAATTAACGTTCCTTTGCCACGACCATGAAGAGGAATTTAGTATACATGGGAAAAACGATGGAAATGTGTTGTACATTAAAGTATCGCTTCTGTGCCATTTGGCTCTGCCTCATTTTTGGGGAAAAGCCCATATGGCCAAAAATTACTAACATATTTCCATCATTTGGGAGTTTACTTCAGAGCTGCAGATAAATAGTGCTCACATAGGTAATTAATTGATTGCTGTCCCTTCTCATTTGGGTCTCAGAGCGTGTGCGGCAGACGGCATGCAGAAGCCTCTGGCTCTGGCAGGGAGACGGGTCCCCACAGCATCGTGCCTTGAAGTCTTGCTCTGCTGGAACTTGTAGCAATGAACACACGTCGCTTTCTGGACGGCAGCTCTGCTCACCGCTCCAGACACGAATGGCAGCAGGACAGCCCGATGACAATGTGAGGAGGCAGCAGAGCCTCTGATTTACCCTCCTGCTCCCAGCCACTGCACTGGCAGCGGGAGTGATGGTATTTATCTGCCCGTGTGCCAAAAAGGCCTGCTGTGTTTGCCAAGAGCTCTGTCGTGTTATACTGTTACTGTACAAGAAAGTAATCCAGGACCGGAAACCTAAGTGAAATTTTCATTCCATCTGCTTTCCAGATTCAAGATGTTTAAGGAGCTAAAGAGACGCAAGCTTTAAGGAGCTAAAGACGCTGAACCAGATCAATTTGCAAGAAATCTGGAAAATGAAGCAAGTAGTTTTCAGGCAGCTCTAAGATCCATGACATTAATTGGGCAGCAGCAGCATCCCTCAATATGAACCTCAATTACTTTATCCATTCTGACTTTGAACTCTTGCACAAAGCACAGCGGTTGCCAATGCAGGAGGAATGGTATAATACCAGTAATAAGAGACTTTTCCAAAATGGCTTGTTTGCAAATTGCTTTGCTGTGATCACTGCAAGTTTAGATCCTTGTTGCTAGAGGAAGAAAACATGCTGGCAGCTTGCAGAGGTGCTGTCCTGCTCCAAGCATCACAGTCGACGGACGACAAGGAGGGTCGGGCAATGCTGCGCTGAGGGAGCTCGCAGCCTCTGCCGTCCCTGCGCAGCAGCAGTGCTCCGTGTGCGGAGTGAGGGAGCGTGGGAGCTGCCCAGCTGAGACATCAATCCAGGTGTGAACGCAAACCTCACGCAAACCTCACGCAAACCTCACAAAACCTCGCAAAGCAGCACACAGAGCCAAGATCAGACATTGCCAGGAGGACTAACGAGGCGGCTGACCAGGGGGGCAAATAACTTGTGTAGGACTCCACTCTTCGCAACAACGATGCCCTCTTGTCATCGGCAGAGGGAGTCTGCAGTGCTGCCCAGGTAAAATCCAGCCTGGCTCAAGGACTACGGAGTGTCGGCTGCCGTGCTGTGGCTGAGCAGTCACACGAGCAAAGGGAAAAAAAAAAGGCATTATAATCACCGTCCAGTTTTCACCCATCTGCCAGTGACCCGGTCCTCGCTGTCCCCTTGCTCCCCTACTTTGGCCACATTCCTTCAGCCCAGACCCACTTTCTGGGTGAGACTCCCAGGCACGAACAGTGCGTTCCACAGCAGCGGGGCCGACACGCAGCGCTGGCGTCTTCCACGCACATCACAAAAGCGGCGCCTGAGGGCACGTTCGTTCCCGGCTGCACGGCCAGCTCCCAGAGCACCCCGCCGCAGCGGGACACAGCCCCTTGGCTTTCGGCGTTTCCGCAACACAAAGA